TGGGCCAGCGCTGGGGACTCTCATGAGGACAGAGGGACAGGATGTGCCTGGGTGGGCCAGTCCTAGGGGACTCTCATGGGGACAGAGGGACAGCACATACCCAGATGGGCCAGCCCTGGGCACTCTCGTGGAGACAGAGGGACAGGACGTACCTGGGTGGGCCAGTCCTGGGGGACTCTCATGGGGACAGAGGGATAACACGTGCCCAGGTGGGCCAGCGCTAGGGACAGAGGGAGAGGACGTGCCCCATGGGCCAGCGCTAGGGACAGAGGGAGAGGACGTGCCCCGTGGGCCAACCCGGGGGTGTGCTCCTGTGTCCCCTGGCCTCTGCCTCTCTGTCCCCTGCCCCCGTCTCTCAAGTCCCACAGCCCCTGCCCCCATGTCACACGGCCCCGGCCCCCCGAGTCAGCGGGAGCCCGGGCGCGCGGCCCTCTGCAGTGGCCCACCTGCCAGGGAGCTGGTGTGCCGCAGGCTGTGCACGGCCGAGTTGGTGAGGCCGCTAAGCATGCAGATGACCGTATCCATGAGGTGTCCGTCACACAGCACCGAAGAGTGTGTCTGCTGCACCAGCAGCTCCGTGAACTCGCAGAAGTTGACCCTGAACCTTTTCCAGAAGGGCCCCGGGCCCACGATGGGGTAGAAGTCGTTTTGCTGGTTAAGGACACAACAAGGGACAGGGGTGAGGCGCTGTGCCCGTCCTCGCACTCCCAGAATCACAACACAGACCTCTGCTCGCGGACAAGGGGCTCCAGGTCACATGAGCACACCCTGACTGGGCACTTGGGGGTCACACGCCCACCCTGACACGGGGTGACCCCAAGTCTCCCACACCCTGCCCCTGGGGGGGTCACACGCCCACCCTGACACGGGGTGACCCCAAGTCTCCCACACGCTGCCCCTGGGGGTCACATGCCCACCCTGACACGAGGTGACCCCAAGTCTCCCACACCCTGCCCCTGGGGGTCACACACCTACCCTGACACAGGGTGACCCCAAGTCTCCCACACCCTGCCATGGGGGTCACACGCCCACCCTGACACAGGGGGACCACACCCTGCCCCTGGGGGTCACACGCCCACCCTGACACAGGGTGACCCCAAGTATCCCACACCCTGCCCTGGGGGTCACACGCCCACCCTGACACGGGGTGACCCCAAGTCCCCCACACCCTGCCCCTGGGGGTCACACGCCCACCCTGACACAAGGTGACCCCAAGTCTCCCACACCCTGCCCTGGGGGTCACACATCCACCCTGACACAGAGTGACCATACCCTGCCCCTGGGGGTCACATGCCCACCCTGACACAGGGTGACCCCAAGGATCCCACACCCTGCCCTGGGGGTCACACGCCCACCCTGACACAGGGTGACCCCAAGTCTCCCACACGCTGCCCCTGGGGGTCACACGCCCACCCTGACACGGGGTGACCCCACGTCTCCCACACCCTGCCCCTGGGGGTCACACACCTACCCTGACACAGGGTGACCCCAAGTCTCCCACACCCTGCCATGGGGGTCACACGCCCACCCTGACACAGGGGGACCCCAAGTCTCCCACACGCTGCCCCTGGGGGTCACACGCCCACCCTGACACAGGGTGACCCCAGGTCTCCCACACCCTGCCCCTGGGAGTCACACATCCACCTTGACACAGGGTGACCCCAAGTCTCCCACATCCTGCCCTGAGGGTCACACATCCACACTGAGGGTGAGCACACTTCCCAGTGTTGCACCATGGACTCATATCCACACTCAGTAGAGTGACCCCCATTTTCCAAGACCCTGCACCTGCGGGGGTTCAGATGTACCCCAGCTTCCTGAGACCCAGAACCTGGGGGGTCACATATCCACGGCCACCAGGGTCTCCCCACCTCTCCCACACCTGCACCTGAATGGACTGTCCCACGTCCCCGTGGTCAAGTCAAGAGGCTGTGCTGGGGGGACCCCCACGCGTGGCACCTCGGGTGACCCTCGAGGGAAGCGTGCAGGGCCCTCTCCCAACGCGTGTCCCAGAGAAGCCCGGCCCTCCCGCTCTCTGCTCTGCTTCCGCTTCCGGCCGATTTCAGGTGTTGCAAACAGGGAGTGCCGACCTGAGAGCTACTCCCTTGGCCCTCACGGGGGACTCAGCCCAACCCTGCTCCCGCAGAGGCCACACGCACCCCCCGAAACGGGGGCTGAAGGAGGCGGCCGGTCCCCGACCCTGCGGGAGACGCGGCCGGACCAGGGAGACGTCTCCTCAGGAAGACACGGCAGGTGCGCTCCCAGACGTGGGCGGCACACTACCCGGGGCCAATCAGCCTACGGCCACGGTCCTTCCGCCTGCGGGCAATCAGGGCCTCGGGACCGCCTGCCCCCCGCCTCCCTCCACTAGGAAAGGGGATCCTCAGGACGCCCCGCCCCTAGCCTCGCCTTTCTCGTGTTGTACGAATTTGTCTAAATTACCTGCACAGGCTCCACGAGACCCCAAGGGAAGGTGGACCCTGAAGGGACGTCAAGGCTGTGGCCAGAACCCAGCAGGCCGGTGCAGAGCGGTGCCCGGCCCCAGAGCTCGAGGGGCTGGGGATGGACCAGGGACTGCCCCGACATTGTGCCCCTCGTGCACGCACCCCCCCCCCCCCCCCCGGGGCCCCCCGCCGCCCGCCCCCCCGGGCAACGCATCCACACCTCTGCTGGGTGTGGGCGGGGACGTGGTCACAGCTTCCTGCCTTGCTCTCATTCGCATCTCCGTGCGCAGAGACCGCCCCCTCGGTGAGCAGGGACCGCCCCCTCCGTGCGCAGGGACCGCCCCCTCCGTGCGCAGGGACCGCCCCACGTCGCGTAGGACCCTTTCTCGTCAGCCCGCCCGTCCTATGCGCACAGCGTCCCACATGCTAGGGTTGCCGTGCGCTGCGTCGTCCAGCCTTCCCCAGTGCACTTTGCACTCAACCCTCCTCCTCGTTCTCCATGCTGGGACCCGGCGCCCCGCGCCTCTGCCCAGCGCTCCATGCAAACCGCCTCTCCTCACAGCACTCCCTCCGCCCTGCCCCCACAGCCTCACTTCCTCCACCCCCCAAACTGGCTGAGCGCCCCCCCACCATTCACTCGGCTGTGAGGGGGAGGGGTGCCCTGCCAGGGATCGGGGGTCACACGGGGGTGCACAGCACAGTCGTTCACTCGAGCCAGCCTCGACCGCAGACCCCAGCGTCAGAACACCTGATGCCAGGGGGGCTCCCGTGCCACTCCCCAGTACGGAGGCTGGGGCACATCTCTGACAGGGTAATAAACGTGTCCACACCGAGGCCAGGCCAGGTCACTAACCGGGTCTGTGAGGTGGGTCCTCAGTCCCCAAACTTGGTGCACTTTGAGAGCGCACGTCCCCACGTGCTCACTGCTGAGCACAGTAACACACGTTGCCTGTCTGCACACATGGGATGGTGGGGAATTAACCACAAGAGGAACCCCAGGCGCGTCTCCGGCAGGGGCACCTGAAGCCGAGGGGCGACAGGCCGGCCACACGGTGCCCCCTACATCTCCCTGTTCAGCCACCCCGATGCTCGTGTCTACAGGGACACTTACTGGTCGGGTCATTCCAACTGTGACCAACACAGTGGTGTCCAGACACTAAAGCACAGAGTACACAGAAGGCAGTCAGTTCTAAATACGCCAGTGTAGACGGAACACGGTCAGGTTTCCATGATACAGTGTAGACGGAACACAGTCAAGTCTCCATGATACAGTGTAGACAGAACACAGGTCTAAATATGCCAGTGTAGACGGAACACGGTCAGGTCTCCATGATACAGTGTAGACAGAAGGCAGTCAGGTCTAAATATGCCAGTGTAGACAGAACACGGTCAGGTCTCCATGATACAGTATAGACAGAACACAGTCAGGTCTAAATATGCCAGTGTAGACAGAACACGGTCAGGTCTCCATGACACAGTGTAGACGAAACACAGTCAGGTCCCAATGTGCCAGTGTAGACAGACAATGGTCAGGCCTAAATGTCCCGTGTAGCTGGAACACAGCCATGTCTAAAGGTCCCAGTGTAGATAGCACACAGTCAGTTCTCAATGTCCCAGGGTAGACAGAACACAGTCAGGTGTAAATAAATGTCCCAGTGTAAACAGAACACAGTCAAGCCCAAATGTCCCAGTGTAGACAGAACACTATCAGGTCTAAGTGTCACAGTGTAGACAGAACACAGTGAGGTTGTAATGTCCCGTGTAGGGGCACCTGGGTGGCTCAACTGGTCAAGCGTCCAACTCAGTTTTGGCTCAGGTCATGATCTCAGGGTCGTTTGTTGTGAGGTTGAACCCCTGCAGGTGCTTGGGATTCTCTCTCCCTCTGCCCCTCCTCCGCTCACACTCTCTCCCTCTCTCAAAGTAAATAAACTTTAAAAAATCCCCTGTAGACAGAACACCAATCTACATGACAGTGTAGACAGAACAGACTCAGGGCTAGATGTCGCGGTGTAGACGGAACTCGCTAAGTGAGGTCACTTCTGCAGAACGTGTCAGGTCTAGGCGTCCCATCACACCAGACACAGCCTGGCTTAAACGTTCTCATCTGAAGCAGAACGCGGTCGGGTGTGAGTGTAGACTGAGCACCGTCAGGTAACGCCCCCTTGTGGACAAGACTCAGATGCTCAGGAGGATCCAGTGTGGACAGGACAGGGTCAGGTCAGGCGGAGCCCCCGCTCGCCAGTCAGGACACAGGGTCAGAGTCAGCAGGACTCTGTGCACTAGGCCCACGGTCCCCTGGGACCCATGCACGTGGAGCCTCGTGTGTGCCCAGGGAGCCCACCCTGTGTGCGGAAGGAAGTCAGGAGCCACGCGGATGCCCAACCGACTTGGGGCTCACCAGGGAGCTGCACACAAACCCCCCATCTTCAAACGCCGCCAAACGTGAGACGAGAGCTTTACCAGTTTCTCTGGCCACATGATGGTCAGGATCCAGGGGTACGCCAGAAACTTCTTGTAGTAGAGCCCGGTCTCCTGAATGGACAGAGGACAGGTGGCCGTGAGGTGAAGCGTCCCCCGCTGCCACAAGCCCCGGGCACCCGGGGGAGCCCCGGCAGGGACCAGCCTGCGCAGCACAGAGCACTGGGGGCTGGCGTCCACCTACCCCGGGGGCCGGCCCGCGCGCGTGGGATGCTCGGGCAGCCCAGAGCAGGCACGCCCCGCCTCCACGAGGGGGCTCCACGCCTAGCTTCGTGTCACTGTCCTGGGGACAGGTGGTGACAGACTGCTTCTGTGGCGCTCAGCCACTGTGTGTCCACGGGCCTGACACGCAGGGCACGCCTTGTGTCTACTCTGGAGGCCGGGACGGGGAGAGGTCACGGCACACAGGCCGTTCTCAACAGAGAATCTGGGAGTGTTCGAGCTTCTCACGCCCACGTCTCCATGAGGCTCCTCCTGTGGCCGTGCCTGTCACCGTGCCCACGGGGGGCCCCGCACCCCGCGGCATTGCCCTACAGACACGTCCAGGGGCCTGCCGTGGAAAGTGCTGGGCGTCCCATGAGGGCGCCAGGCTGGGGGGCTGGAAAAGCCCCCACTGCCGCTTCTGACACAGGGGAGGGTGAACAGGGCCCGACCTGGCGACGTGGACCCTCTGAGGAAGCAGACCCAATGCGAGTAGCCATCTTGGGAGTGGTTCCGGCAGACACACGCAGCAACACACAAACACACACATGCATTCGCTCACTCACATGCACAGTGCACATGCGTGTGTACCTGCACGCACACGCATGCAGTAACACATGCATACATGTGCGCATTTGCTCACTTGCGTGTACAGTGCACATGCGTGCACATGCAGTGACACACTCACATGTGTACATACATGTGCATTTGCTCACGTGCACAGTGCACACAAGTGTGTACCCATGCACGCATACGTGCAGTAACACATTCACATATGCACACCTACGTGTGCATTTGCTCACTTGCGTGTACAGTGCACACACGTGTGTACCTGCGCACACACATGCAGTGACACATTCACATATGCACACATACATGTGCATTTGCTCACTTGCGTACGGTGCACACACGTGTATCTGTACACACATGTGCATTCTCTTGCTCACATGCACATGTGTATCTGTATGCAGACACATGTAGCAACACGCTCACATATGCACACATACATGTACATTCGCTCGCTCATGTGCACAGTGCACATGCATGAACATGTAGCAGCACACGCATGGGGCATAAAGTGAACGTGGCAGGGCGTGAATATGAGAATACAGGCAGTAACACACATGCACACAGACGTGTGCATTCGCTCGCTCACATGTACACTGCGCACACGTGTGTACCTGCACACAGATGCATGCAGTAACATACTCACATATGCACACATGCATGTGCATTTGCTGACTCACGTGCACAACACACACGCATGCACATGTAGCAGCACATGCATGGGGCATAAAGTGAACGTGGCAGGTCGTGAACTGCTAAACGCGGGCGAAATTCATGTATTCTCCCCTTTTTCTTAGGTTTGACATTTTTAAAACAAAACGTTAAAGAAAAAATTTAATGTTCACTGATTTGATGCACAGCACTTCTGAAAACACTTCATGAATATTTTAAGGTGTGACAAATTAATGTAGATATTACATCTGTCCCTAAATGGATGAGTCAATCAGTGAAGTGTAGTCCACGACAGAGTGGAATGTGCCTCGGCCTTGAAAATAAGGAAGGACGTTCTGCACCTGCCACTACGTGGACGGACCTTGGGGACATGATGCTCAGCGACATAAGCCACACAGAAGGACAAATCGTGTGTGATTGCACATACATGGGGTCCCTAGAGGGGCCACATCCACAGAGACAGAGAGTAGATGGTGGAGCCAGGGGCTGGGGACGGGGACGGGCAGTCAGTGGTTCATGGGGACACAGCTTCAGTTTGAGGAGATGGAAAGTTCTGGAGATGATGGTACAGATGGTTGCACAGCAACGTGAACGTGCTCAGTGCCACTGAGGTGTGTACCTAAAAGGGATTAAGGTGACGCATTTCATATTTTATGTATTTTGCCACAATTTAAAAAACCTTTTTGGGCACCTGGTGGCTCGGTTGGTTGAGCGCATGACTTCGGCTCAGGTCATGATCTCGCGAGATCTCACGTGATCTCGCGTGAGTTCGAGCCCCGCGTCAGGCTCTGTGTGGACACCTCGGAGCCTGGAGCCTGCTTCACATTCTGTGTCTCCCTCTCTCTCTGCCCCTCCCCTGTTCACACTCTGTCTCTGTCTCTCTCAAAAATAAATAAACATCAAAAAACGTCTTAAGAAACCATTTTAAACAAGAATAGTGCTCGAATGCAAGAAGGTGGTCAGCCTCACTAATAATCCAGGAAACCGAAACCAGAAGTACCCTGTGCACACCTACCAGACTAGCAAAACCTAACAACATCGCATCACGCACTGGCAGGGAACAGGACCAAGGCGACGTCTAACACACAGGTAGAGGCTCCTGCTTGGGAATACACGTTGGTGCCACCTCGCACAGGAAAACGTGTGCGTGCACAGGCCTAAGCTACAGAAACACGTGAAGACGCACAGCAGGACACACGGACAACAGACGTTTGCAGCCACGCAGAGACAAAGCGCGAAACCAACCCGAACACCATCAGAAGCAGAATGGAGACAAGAAGGACGCATAGGCGTGCGATGGAACGTTCCACAGCTGTGCACCAGATGGCTTCACGTGATAACACTGGTCAGAATCATTCTGTCAAGCGTGTCTCCCGTGCAGAGACCTGGGCGCCAGGCAGAGCCAGGTGACATCATCTACAGATGCCCATGTGGGACAGATATGCCATGGCATGTTCTGGGCACCAAGTTCGGGGCATGGTTACCTCCCGGTGGGGAGGAGGTCAGGACGGGGGCAGGGCACGTCTGGGCACGTATTGGCCACGCTCTCTCTTCATCTGGACGATGGCCACGTGGTTACCGTTTTATAACGGTACTTTCCACATACACAATGGAATCTCCAATAGTAACTAAAGGTCAAATTTTCCTTTATAGAGAATCGTGGTCTCCCCAGTGGAATCTCCAATAGTAACTAAAGGTCAAATTTTCCTTTATAGAGAATCGTGGTCTCCCCAGTGGAAGAAGGGCCGCTTCTCCCAGGGACGTGAGGGCGGATGGTGTCGACCTGTGCAACCGTGACACCTGGGCTGCTTCAGCCTGCAAGCCTGCTGGCAAACCCACGGGCTTGGGGGACACGGGGCAGCAGGGAAGATCCCGTGACCCCAGGCCCTGGGCTCATGGAGGGCACAGAGCCCTCCTCACCTGGTCAAACTTCTCGGTCATCTTGTGAACCACACTGTTGCCTTGGTTGGTCTGGTACAGCTCAGCCGTCACCATCCCTGGGAGAGAAAGAAGCACACTCAACATGGAAACGCGGTTTGCACCACTCCTCCTCCTTCTCCTGGGAGGGCGTGAGAGGTGGGCGGGGCCACGACACCTCATCCCCCAGAGGCCACGGCAAGGCCGCAGGAGTAATCCGGCCTCGCTGCTCCCCAAAAAAACAAGATCTCCTACCCAAACCAGCCTCTGGAGGAGGCCCCAGCCCACCCAGTGTCTTAGGACCACAGGCGGCCAGGACGGTGAGGCCCAGCCGGCACGTGAGAGAGAGGCCCAGGAGTGCCAGGAGCATGGCTCACCTTCACAGCCACAGCACTGGACGAAGAAGCTGATGAGGTCCAGCAGGGCCAGCTCCCTGTCCTCCTTGTAAGACTGGACCCACTCCTCAACGGCCGTCTGCAGGGGCAGCAGCACAGGTGAGCACACGTGTGTGATGACGCACATGTGACAGGCCAGCAGTGAGGACACAGGTGTGATGGTGTGTGTGTGATGGGCCAGCAATGACCACGTGTGTGTGATCAGGCCTGTGACGGGTGGTGATGAGCATGTGTGTGTGATCAGGTGTGTGACGGGCGGCAGTGAGCACATGTGTGGGTGATCAGGCATGTGATGGGCAGTGGTGAGCACATGAGTGTGTGCTCAGTCATGTAACAGGTAGCAGTGAGCACGTGTGTGTGATCAGGCGTGTGACGGGCGGCGGTGAGCATGTGTGTGTGATCAGGCATGTGATGGGCAGTGGTGAGCACGCGTGTGTGTGATCAGGCATGTGACAGTTGGCAGGGCAGCTGTGAGCATGTGTGTGTGTGATCAGGCATGTTAAGGGAGGCAGTGAGCACAAGTGTGTGATCAGGCATGTGATGGGCAGCGGTGAGCACGTGTGTGTGATCAGGCGTGTGAGGGGCAGCAGTGAGCATGTGTGTGTGATCAGGCATGTGATGGGCAGTGGTGTGCACGTGAGTGTGTGACCAGTCATGTGACAGATGGCAGTGAGCATGTGTGTGTGATCAGGCATGCGATGGGCAGTGGTGAGCACGTGTGTGTGTGATCAAGCATGTTACAGGCGGCAGTGAGAGCATGTGTGTGATCACGTGTGTGATGGGCGGTGGTGAGCACGTGTGTGTGTGATCAGGTGTGTGAAGGGTGGTGGTGAGCACGTGTGATGGGCGGCGGTGAGCATGTGTGTGATCAGGTGTGTGACAGGTGACAGTGAGCACGTGTGTGTGTGATAAGGTGTGTGACGGGCAGCGGTGAGCATGTGTGTGTGTGTTCAGGCATGTTATGGGTGGCGGTGAGCACGTGTGTGGGTGATCAAATGTGTGACAGGTGGCAGTGAGCACATGTGTGTGATCAGGTGTGTGAACAGTGGCGGTGCGTACGTGAGTGTGATTAGGCATGTGACAGGTGGTGGTGAACACATGTGACAGGCGGCGGTGAGCACATGTGTGATCAGGTGTGTGACGGGTGACGGTGAGCATGTGTGTCTGATCAGGTATGTGACGGGCAGCAGTGAGCACGTGTGTGTCATCAGGCATGTGACAGGTGGAGGTGATCAGGTGTGTGATGGGTATCAGTGAGCATGTGTGTGTGAGATCAGGCATGTTAAGGGTGGCAGTGAGCACAAGTGTGTGATCAGGCATGTGACGGGCAGCAGTGAGCATGTGTGTGTGATCAGGCGTGTGACGGGCAGTGGTGACCGTGTGTGTGATCAGCCATGTGATGGGCAGTGCTGAGCACATGTGTGTGTGATCAGGCGTTTGATGGATAGTAGTGAGCATGTGTGTGTGATTAGGCGTGTGACTGGCGGCAGTGAGCACGCATGTGTGATCAGGTGTGTGATGGGCAGTGATGAGCACGTGTGTGTGTGATCAGGTGTGTGACAGGCAGCGGCGCACATGTGTGTGTGCGGTCGGGTGTGACAGGCAGCGGCACACATGAGTGTGTATGGTCAGGCATGTGACGGGAAGCTGTGAGCACGTGTGTGTGTGTGTGATCAAGCATGTTACAGGCGGCGGTGAGAACATGTGTGTGATCACGTGTGACGGGCAGTGGTGAGCACATGTGTGTGATGAGGTGTGTGATGGGTGGTGGTGAGCACGTGTGTGTGTGATCAGGTGTGTGATAGGCAGTGATCACGTGTGTGTGTGATCAGGTGTATGAAGGGTGGTGGTGAGCACGTGTGATGGGCGGCGGTGAGCACGTGTGTAATCAGGTGTGTGACAGGTGACAGTGAGCATGTGTGTGTGTGATAAGGTGTGTGACGGGCGGCGGTGAGCACGTGTGTGTGTTCAGGCATGTTATGGGTGGCGGTGAGGACATGTGGGTGATCAAATGTGTGACGGGTGGCAGTGAGCACGTGTGTGTGATCAGGTGTGTGAACAGTGGCGGTGCGTACGTGAGTGTGATTAGGCATGTGATGGGTGGTGGTGAACACGTGTGACAGGCGGCGGTGAGCACATGTGTGATCAGGTGTGTGACGGGTGACGGTGAGCATGTGTCTGATCAGGTATGTGACAGGCAGCAGTGAGCACGTGTGTGTCATCAGGCATGTGACAGGTGGAGGTGAGCATGTGTGTGTGTGATCAGGTGTGTGATGGGAGGTGGTGAGCATGTGTGTGTGTGATCAGGCGTGTGACGAGTGGCAGTGAGCATGTGTGTATGTGATCAGGCATGTGACAGGCAGTGGTGAGCACATGTGTGTGTCATCAGGTGCATGATGGGCAGCGGTGAGCACGTGTGTGTGTGATTAGGTGTGTGACGGGTGGTGAGCACATGTGTGTGTCATCAGGTGTGTGACAGACAGCGGTGAGCACGTGTGTGTGTCATCAGGTGTGTGCTAGGTGGTGGTGAGCACGTGTGTGTGTGACCCGGTGTGTGACAGGTGGCAGTGAACACGTGTGACGGGCATGTGTGGCCGGCACACCTGTCGGCTGGGCACACAGGGCAGCACAGAGCTGTGGCCAGTGCTGTCCTGACCCTGTGGGGACACTCAGCCCCTGATGGCCCCAGCAGCGTGTGTCACGCCCGCGTCCAGCCCACATCCCCTGCAGTGGGCGGTACCTGCACAGAGTTCTTCCCCAGGGCAACCATCTCAAACAGGGTCACCTCTGCGGTGATGGCCACTTTCCTCTTGCGGTACTTCCGCGGGGGCCGCCCTCGCCGGCAGGTGCCCTGCCCACGGGCATCCTGGGCCCCCGAGGTTGCTCCCTGTGCCTGAAACCGAAGAGTGGGATGTGACAGGCTGCACCGCACATCCTGTGTCCCGGGCAGGTGAGGAGGGTGTAGCCCCCCCCCCCCACCGGGGATGCAGGGGCGCACTGTGGTGGCCCTGGGCAGGAACGCTGGACCATCGGGAGCACACAGCTGTGAAGGAGACCTGGACATTCAGGAGACAACTGGCCGCACCCCCTGGGGGTGCCCACCTGTCACCATGTGCTCACACTTTCACACCAAATAGCTCTCAGCTCCTCATGGCCTGTCCTGTACCCGCTGCAAGGGGTCCATGATCACCTGAGACCCTGGGCGGGGAGGGGGGCTTCAGGCACCTGGAACGGAGGGTGCAGGAGCAACCCCAGACCCCCAGGTGGGGGGATCAATGCCAGGGAGCAAGGAGGGTTTCCCCAGACCCCCAGGCAGGGGCATCGATGCCAGGGAGCAGCGAGGGGACACTGAGCCTGAAGAGGGGAGCAGGAGTCGTCATGTCTGAGGATGGTCAGAGGGTGGGGACACTGTGTCCAAGGTCAGGGGATAGGATGCCATATCCATGGTTGGGGAGGGGACGCCATGTCCAAGCATGGGGAGAGGACGCCGTGTCCATGGTCGAGGATGATGCTGTGTCCGAGGATGGGGGAGAGGATGCCTTGTCCATGGTTGGGGGAGGGTACTCCATGTCCGTGGTTGGGGGAGGGGACACCGTGTCCAAGGACGAGGGAGGGGATGCTATGTCCGAGGATGGGGGAGGGAAGGAACACCCCATCTGCAGACACAGGAGAGGACACCACCTCCAAAGACCAACAGTGGAAGTGCGCTGGCCTGCAGGGCCCTGGTGGGCCTGGGGTTTGGTGGGCAGGCAGTACAGGGAGAAGCCTCCAGGACCCAGTCCTCAAGCTGGCAGCACCTGGCCTGGCACAGGGGAGCACAGCACCACCCAGCCCGCCCAGCCCTCCCCGCAGTGGTCAATACCAGTATGGAGCCCCTCCTCCTGGACATCACCTCAAAGAAGGTCACCATGGAGATGAACTGGCCAGCCTCGTTCCTGTACCTCCTGCGTGTGGCCCGCCCACGCCGTCGGAATCCAATCCCACTGACATCCCGGATCCCCGAGGGTCCTTCCTGCACCTACAGCCAGAGAGCAGGATGTGAAGGGCCAGGAAATGGTACTAAGTGGAGGCCAGCTTAATGAGAGGACCCCTTAACTCCAGAACCCAGGGGGAAGGAAGTGTCCACTAGAACTGCCCATCACCGCCAGGGGCCCCCGGGAGAGGAGGGTGGCCACCCCATGTCACCCACCGCTGCTGCAGGACAGAGGTCTCGGCCAGGGTCTCTGACTGTCGTCACGCCCTCAGCTGGGTGCTCAGACACAAGCCTCCGCTGCCACAAACCACCAGTGTCCTGGGGATAGCAAGCCATCTTAAACCCAATCCTGAGGACTGTCTCTCAGGGATATGGGGTTCCCATCACCCCACTGGTCACAGCCCCAGATGGAGATGGGGAGCTCAGGCCAGTGACCAGCAAGGTTGGGGGAGGTAAGACCCATGATATGAGCCAGCTCTCCCTGTCCTTCTGGGAGGGGTGGGCCCAGTGGCCCAGCAGAAGCAGGACTGAGACCAGCACAGCCTCAAGGGGCACAGGGAGAGTAACCTGGAACCAAGGGTCACATGTGCAGACAGCAGAACTTGGGCGTCACTCCTGGGCACACCTGCCCAATAGAGCATGGCCTTCCCTAGTGGGATGCTGCTACTGCATGGGGACCAGCGTGGATGCAGTGAAAGAACCACGGCCATGCCTGTCCTGACTCGATGCTCCCCTGCCCACTAGCGTCCGACTCAACAGGGGCTCATGGATACTGTGAGCCCATAAGGGCCATCCTGGGGCACAGACGGTCTTCAGGACAAGTGTGCCCACTTGTGGGTGCCCCACACCCCTGCATCCCTACACTGTGGGCCTCTGTGACACCACCACATGACAGTCTTCCACAAACGAGAACACCTGAGGGCTGTAGTACCAGGCTGGGTGGCCCACTGATAACCTCACCACAACACACATCTGGTTCTGCTTGTAGGAACCCCACACTGATATGTGTGCACACTGAAGACTATGCCTCAGCAACACGCTGGATTTAGATTCGTATGTCCTCAAACTTAAAAGTGAATTTAGCAAGGCCAATTCAAGGTCAGTTTAATAAAATCAATCATATTTCTAAAAACAAGCAATGAAAACCTGGATACTGAAATTTAAAAAAAAAAAAAAAAAAACAGTAGCTATTACAACAGCTCCCCCAAAATGGAATACTTAGATATCAACCTAACAAAATAGGTGTAGGATCTGTGTGTTGAAAACTACAAGATTTTGATGAAAAAAATCAAACAAGACTTTCAGAAACAGTGAGCTATACCATGTTCATGGAATGGAATGGAGAAATGGATCATTCTGCAACAGCTGGAGATTCAATACTGAACTCTTAATAATGGACAGAACAACCAGACAGAAGACCAGTGAGGACAAACAAGACTTAACAAACCAACTAGATCTAAGACACGTATACTGAACGCTCCACCCAGCAACAGCACACACCTTCTGCTCATGTGTTCTTAGCACATTCCCCAGAATACACTACACGTTAGACCACCAATGAAGTCTTATTAGATTTCAAAAGACAGGTAACATACAAAGTATCTTCTCTGACCACAACAGTATGAAGTAGAAATCAATAACAGGAGGAAAACTGGAAAATTCACAAAACTATGAAAGAACAAGTGGTTCAGAGAAGAAATCACAAGGGAAATTAGAAACAATCTAGGGACAGGGACTTCAAGCTGTATCACAAAGCTGTAATCATCAAGACTATGGTACTGGCACAAAAACAGACACTCAATCAATGCAACAGAATAGAGAACCCAGAAATGGACCCACAAACGTATGGCCAACTAATCTTTGACAAAGCAGGAAAGACCATCCAATGGAATAAAGACAGTCTCTTCAGCAAGTGGTGCTGGGAAAACTGGACAGTGACATGCAGAAGTATGAACCTAGACCACTTTCTCACACCGTACACAAAAATAAACTCAAAATGGATGAAATACTTAAATGTAAGACAGGAAGCCATCAAAATCCTCGAGGAGAAAGCAGGCAAAAACCTCTTTGATCTCGGCCGCAGCAACTTCTTACTCAACACATCTCCGGAGGCAAGGGAAACAAAAGCAAAAATGAACTACTGGGACCTCATCAAAATAAAAAGCTTTTGCACAGCGAAGGAAACAATCAGCAAAACTAAAAGGCAACCGACAGAATGGGAGAAGATATTTGCAAATGACATATCAGATAAAGGGCTAGTATCCAAAATCTATAAAGAACTTACCAAACTCAACACCCAAAACACAAACCATCCAGTGAAGAAATGGGCAAAAGACATGAATAGACACTTCTCTAAAGAAGACATCCAGATGGCCAACCGACACAGGAAAAATGCTCAACCTCACTCATCATCAGGGAAATACAAATCCAAACCACAATGGGATACCACCTTACACCTGTCAGAATGGCTAACACTAACAACTCAGGCAACAACAGATGTTGGCGAGGATGCAGAGAAAGAGGATCTCTTTTGCATTGTTGGTGGGAATGCAAACTGGTGCAGCCTCTCTGGAAAACAGTATGGAGGTTCCTCCAAAAAACTAAAAATAGAACTACCCTAGGACCCAGCAAATGCACTACTAGGCATTTATCCAAGGGATACAGGTGTGCTGTTTCAAAGGGACACGTGCACCCCCATGTTTATAGCAGCACTATCGACAATAGACAAAGTATGGAAAGAGCCCAAATGTCCATCAATGGATGAATGGATAAAGAAGATGTGGTTTATATATATACAATGGAGTATTACTCATCAATCAAAAAGAATGAAATCTTGGATGGGACTAGAGGGTATTATGCTAAGTGAAATTAGTCAGAGAAAGACAAATATCATATGACTTCCCTCATATGAGGACTTTAAGATATAAAACAGATGAACACAAGGGAAGGGAAGCAAAAATAATATAAAAAACAGGCAGGGGGACAAAACGTTAGAGACTCTTAAATATAGAAAACAAACAGAGGGTTAATGGAGGTGTTGTGGGAGGGGGGATGGGCTAAATGGGTAAGTGGCATTAAGGAATCTACTCCTGAAATCATTGTTGCACTATATGCTAACTAACTTGGGTGTAAATTTAAAAAATAGAAAATAAATAAATTTAAAAAAAAAAGAAAAGGAAAAGAAAATATTTAGGGACAAATGCAAATGAAAATCAACATAACTAAAACTTTTGGAATGGTGGGCAAGTGGTGCTAATGGGAAATTTACAGCTGTAAATGTTGGCACCGAAAACCAAGAAAGATCTTAGATCAACAACGCAACTTTACAACTTGAGGAATGAGAAAAAGAACATCAAATTAAATCCAAAGGTAGCAGGGGCGCCTGGGTGGCGCAGTCGGTTAAGCATCCGACTTCAGCCAGGTCACGATCTCGTGGTCCGTGAGTTCGAGCCCCGCGTCGGGCTCTGGGCTGATGGCTCAGAGCCTGGAGCCTGTTTCAGATTCTGTGTCTCCCCCTCTCTCTGCCCCTCCCCTGTTCATGCTCTGTCTCTCTCTGTCCCAAAAATAAATAAACGTTGAAAAAAAAAATAAATCCAAAGGTAGCAGAAGGAAGGACCTAACAAAGAATTAAAACGGAGATAAACACAATAGGTAATGGAAAAACAATAGAGAAAAACCAATGAAACCAAAAGCTGGTTCTTCAAAAAGATAACAGATTTGGGGTGCCTGGCTGGCTCAGTTGGAAGAGCATGCAACTCTTAACCTTGGGGTTGTGAGTTCAAGCCCCACATTGGGTGTAGAGATTACTTAAATAAATAAAACTTAAAATAAAAAAGGTAACAGTTAACAAACCTTTAGCTTAGATGGGCTAAGGGCAAAAGAGTAAAGATTCAAATTATGAAAATCGGGACTGAAAGTGGGGGCATTATTACAGATTCCACAGAAACAGGTCTGTAAGATCACAGCAGCAAACGGGATGACGTATATGAAATAGACAAATTCCTAGAAACACAAAACCTAGTAAGACTAAGTCACACAGAAACAGAAAATGTGAAAAGAAAAGCTTTTAACCTGAAGACTTCACTGAGGAATTCTACCAAAGGATTTTAGGAAAACTAACACCAATCCTTCTCGAGCTTTTCCAAACATTGAAGAGGGGGGGAGCACTTGCCAACTCATTCCAGAAAGCCAGCATTCCTCGGATTCCAAAGCCAGACAGACACTACAAGGAAACCACTCGGACATCCCTCATGAACACTGATGTAAAAATCCTCAACAAGATACCAGCGCACAGCACTCAGGGGACTATACAGCATGACCAAGCAGGACTTATTCCTAGAATAGAAGGTTGGTCTGACATACAAAAACTGATCATTGTAAGGCACCACGTCAACAGGATTAAGGAAAAATATCACATGATCAACTCAACAGGTTCAGAAAAAGTATCGGACAGAGTTCAACACCCTTTCATAACAAAAACATTTAAAAAATAAAATTAAGAATAGAAGGAAAGTATCGCAATGTAATCAAAGCCATCTAGAGCTTTGTAAATATTTATGCCCCCAACTTGGAACACCTAAGTATATAAATCAATTAATAACAAACATAAAGAAACCCATTGATAACATTTCAATAATAGTAGGTGACTTTGACAATAGCATCAAAAAGAATAAAATACTTAAGTATTATCCGAGATGGTGAAAGATTTGTACAATGGAAACTACAAAACATTGCCGGAAGAAATTAAAGAAGATGTACAGAAATGGAAACGCATCCCACCTTCATGGACTGAAAGACTTCAGAGGATCAGAATGTGAACGTGACCCAAAGTGATCTCGATTCGGTGCACTCCCAATCAACATCTCAGCCTACGTTTCTCTAGATATTAGTAAGCTGATTCTAAAATTTATAGACAGAAAAAGGAACTAGAACAGCCAAAGTAACTTTCAAAAACAACAACATTGCAAATGTTGAAACTCATTTCAAACGTTAGTATAAAGCCACAATCAAGACTGTGTGGTAGTCGGCAAAAGGATATCCCTTAGATCAGTGGAACAGGACAGAGTCCAGAAGTAGAACCACACAAATATGGTCACCTGGCCTTTTCTGAAATTGCTAAGGCAACTCAACCGAAAGAAGATAATCTGCTTAAAAATATGGTACCGAACAGGGGCCCTTGGGGGGCTCAGTCGGTTAAGCTTCCGACTTGGGCTCAGGTCACGATCTCACGGTTTGTGGGTTCGAGCCCCGCGTCGGGCTCTGTGCTGACAGCTCGGAGCCTGGAGCCTGCTTCGGACTCTGTGTCTCCCACTCTCTGCCCCTCCCCTGGTCCACATTCTCTCTCTCTCTCTCTCACTCTCTCTCTGCCCCTCCCCGTGCTCATGCTCTCTCTTTCCCTCTCTCAAAAACAAATATTTTTTAAAAAGAACTCTCAAAACAATTAAGTTCATTAAAAAAGAACTCTCAAAACTCAACAACAAACCACTCAACAGAGGAGAGTCACAAACGATTTAAACAGAGTCCTCGCCTGAAGATACACACAGATGGGGCCCTTAGGCAGTGGACACGCTCTCGTCATCAGGCACTAGGGACGGGGAACTGCAAACCCACCGCCTTTTGAACGGCTAAGCTGATACAAGCTGACAGGTGCTGTCGAGGACGTGCAGCCACAGGCGCCCTCCTACCTACCGGCGGGAACCTAAGACGATACCAGCACTTCGGAAAACAGTTTGGCGGTTTCGCAAAACGTGAAATGTGTGCCTACGAGTCACCGTGCCGCTGGCATTTACCTGAGAGAAACAGAGGCATCTTTCCGCACGAGGGCTTGTGCCCAAATGTTGCCGGCAGCTTTATCAGGGATAAGGAAACCTCCCAACAACCCAAATGTCCCATCCACAGTAAACGGACGCACAGACGGTGGTCGGTCCACACGTGCAGCCACCACTCTGTAATAAAAGGAACGAACCGGGGCGCCTGGGGGCCTCGGGCAGTTAAGCCTGTGACTCTTGGTTTCGGTTGGGGCCGTGATCTCCTGGTTCGCGACATCGAGGCTTGCATCGGGCTCTGCCCTGATGCTGCCTGGGATTCTCTGTCCCCCCCACCCCACCCCGTCCCTCCCCTGCCCGCGGTCTCTCTTTCTCAAAATAAATAAACTTTTAAAAAGTAAAAAATAAAGAAAATACAGGAATGAACTACTGACCCATTCCAATATGGTTGAATGCGAACATACTTAATTATGCTGAGTGAATGACGCCCGAGCACCAAGAAACAGAAATCGTAGTGCGTGAGTCCCTGTATATAACCCTCTAGGAAATGCACACAGTGTCACGGTCAGGGACAGGGCAGACTGGAGTGGGTGTGGAGAGGTGTTGGGTCTGCCACTGCGAAGGCTTACAAGATCTGGAGGGGGGAGGGGGGTGGAGATAGTCATCATCCTGATGGCCGTGATGCCCAGAAGGTGTCCACGCGTGTTAAACCACGCACTTTCAATACGTGTTTATTTCATACCAAGTGTTTGAAAACAATTTTTTTAATGTTTATTTATTTTTGAGAGAGACAGAGAGAGACAGAGCGTGAGCAGGGGAGGGGCAGAGAGAGAGGGAGACACGGAATCCGAAGCGGGCTCCGGGCTCCGAGCCGTCAGCACAGAGCCCCACGCGGGGCTCAGACTCAACGAGCCATGAGATCATGACGTGAGCTGAGTCGGATGCTTCACCGACTAAGCCACCCGGGTGCCCCTCACACCAAGCGCCTAAACAAAAACAAGCTTGACTCTCCAGGACCAGCACGAATAAATTAAAAACGGCATGTATTTTGGTCGTGGGGAGGGGGACACAGCAGGATCAGGGGAGGAGACCACCAAGTGGAGCCCCAGAAGCACAATGTGTGACCTGTAAACAGCCAACCGCAGTGCTAGTAATGCGTCCTGGGGACACAGCCCTGGGGGGCTTTGCACGCGCCCAGCCCTGCACGCACCCAGACATGCATGACCCCTGATGTCACTCTGGCTTAAAGCCATGGGGACCTCAGTCTAACCCGCCCGTCCGCGTGCTCCTGAGCCAACTCTGCAGACTCGCTCGCACATGCGAGGCCACGATGACCAACCCTCACCATCTCAGGTCCCGAGCAGCCACCCCAGCTATACTCGGGCCGCCACGTATTTTCATTCTCAAGTCAGGAGTGACTGGAAAACAGTAACCTCACGACACTGTGGTCGCACCCCATGTATACATGACAAGCCCGGTGAACGTGAGGGGTTATTAACTAAACTGCTACGTGGCCGATAGACCACCCTGTGGTCTGTCATTGCTGTCTACACAGCAGTGCAAACTCACTCCAAGGATACTCAGGAGACAGGTGAAACTTACAAATTTTGTTTCCTATTTTGTTTGTTTCTGCTTTTTTTTTTTTTTTTTTTTTTTAGTAGGTTCTACACCCAACATGGGACTCGAACTCACAACCCTGAGATCGAGTTGCATGCTCCGGGTGGGGCGCCTGGGTGGCTCTGTCGTTGAGTGTCCGACTCCGGCTCGGGTCCTGATCTCAGGGTTTGTGGGTTCGAGCCCCGAGTCGAGCTCTGTGCTGACGGCTGGGAGCCTGGAGCCCGCTTCGGATTCTGTGTCTCCCTCTCTCTCTGCCCCTCCCCTGCCTGCCCTCTGTCTCTCTCTCTCTCTCTCTCTCTCTCTCTCTCTCTCTCTCTCTCTCAAATCTCTCAAAAATGAATAAAATTAAACAAATAACAACAAAAACAGAAGAGTTGCATGGTGTGGCAACTGATCCAGCCAGGCACATCCTTAAGCCTAAAATTTCATAAGATAAAAAAAGAAATTATAAAACAATATATACAATTCGAACTCATTTTTTATTAAATTTTAGGATACATATATGCACATGCGTGCAGACAGATATGCAAATACACACACGTGTGTGTGTGTGTGTGTGTGTGTGTGTGTGTGTGTGTACGTGCATAAAAAGCCTGGAAGAGGGACACGTGGCTGGTACACCACGCTTGCTGTCACGTTGTGAGTTCGAGTCCCAGTTTGGACATAGAGATGGCTTTAAAAAAAAAAGAAAAAAGAAAACTAGAAGAATATACAGGAAAATCTTTTTTCAAATTTCTTTAACGTTTAATGTATTTTTGAGAGAGACAGAGAGCGACAGAGCGTGAGCAGGGCAGAGGCAGAGAGAGAGGGAGACACGGAATCCGAAGCAAGATCCAGGCTCCGAGCCGTCAGCCCAGAGCCCGGCGCGGGGCTCGAACTCACGCGAGATCACGCGAGATCACGCGAGATCATGACCTGAGCCCAAGTGGGGGCGCCTCAACCGACCGAGCCACGCAGGTGCCCCTGTAGCAAAACCTTACTAGTGACCGCTGTTGGGACAGATTAGAAGGGGTCCGTGTTTCCTCCCGCGTTCCTGTCTACACCTTGCCATCTGCATGAGCGTGTCCCTTCCCCCCCCCCCCCCGAGGGAAACACGCATCTTAGGCCCACGTAACAAGCGTGTATCAGCGTGGCCACGGATTCCGTCAGCACGGGCACTTACCGACACAGTGTCCTGGCCACCGCCATCGCACACGGGCATCAGGTTCCCCTCCTCTTGGCCAGACCTTTCGCTGAGACACAAGAAAAGTCAGATTGCTGCGTGGAGCCCTTGAGGCTGCAAGCCACGTAATGACACAGCCACCCCCCCCCCCCCCCCACTCGCTCGGTGAGTCTTTCCCGAGCTACAGGCAGTTGCACACGCTGGGGCTTTTCAGCACACGCTCTTAAAATTCGACGTTTTTACACTGTTGTCAGCAGAGGAAAGAAAGCACCCAAAGTCAGACAATGCCAAGAAATGGGGAGTGGCTCGGCTCACAGAGGGGACAAAACAGTCCGTCTCTGAATGCCTGGGAAGGGGGTTAAACGACCGGCGGCCCCTGATTCTAACTGCGCCCGGTTCGGGGCTCCTGCCACATCAGGACACATCTCCCCATCCAATCCACGATGTATCTTAACAACCACGGGTGTTGGAGAATCGGGAAAACGGAATACTTTCAACACGAAGGCAAAACACGAGCGGTTTTTCCCCACGGCTGTGCGAGCCCCCTCCCACCGTGTTGTGTGCACGGCGCCACGACCCCAGGCGACTGGCACCTGTCTCCTCTCTCCCCTACTTCTTCCCACAGCCTCAACACCATTTTCACGCCAACATCTACGCCGTTTATCACACACACTAGACGTTTCGAGGGCTGTCTGCTGAATCAAGTCTGCAGACAGCTCTGGGTTTTGCACGGAGCTGAGGTTGTAGGATGAACTTACTTAGCAGGAAACCGTCTACCACCCCCCTCAGCAGCCTCAGGGCATAGTGTCAATAGTAAAGGAGTAAAAAAATGCGTTACCTCATTATCAAGTGTTAATCCTCACCGTCGTCCCTCCCCAAGCCACCCCCAGAAACCGCCGGGCAGGCAGGCTCCAGGGGACAGCGCTGGCGATGCGGCCCGGACGGCGACGGGAACCGAGGAAGCGGAGAGGTCTGAGTGCGGCTAAGAACCTGGCGCCCCGCGCAGCCCTGGAAACGCGAGCTCCGGTAGGTCTGCTCCCCCAAGTAAGACTGCACTCCGTCTACAGGAGGCAGGGCTGGGAGGAGGGGACCTGCCCGAATCTTACGCCAGGGGGCGTCACAGGACCACAGCGAGCTCCTGTGCGCTCGCCAGCCGGCCTCCCGCTGCAGACAGAGCAGCTTCGCCCCAGGATCTCAGAGCAAGGCCCCGCAGAGACACCCTCCCCGGGACACAAGGCCCCGTGCTTTCTCCGCGGACTCACTGATGCCCGTGCCCGGTGCTGGCGGTCGGAAGCCGTGTGACAGGGCGGAGGGCTGGGGGACCGGCCCCGGAACGATATACGCCATCAGCACACACACACTTGTGCCTTCGTTACTGTAGGTTCTAATCCACACTCTGATTCCATCAGCAAGGAAATGGCACCCAGGACTCACGGCCCGTGGGGGCGTCACTGGCGACACCGGGTCGAGATCCCAAGCTCGCCCATTCTCTTTAAGACAGACGCACGACAGCTCAACTCAATTCCAACCGTGCCCAACGTGGTCACGCTGGCTCGGGGGGCTGCACAGGACAGTTCCTGCCAGTACAGTAACGCCACCTCAAACGTTCCTTTCAATCCCCCCCACCCCCGTTCCGACACAGCAACCAGGCCTCCCCTGCCTCTTCGGGCTACGTGTTCCTACGTGTCCCCTCCTTCGTTGTGCATGTTAGAATGACGAGCGTCACCATCATCGAAATATCGGAAAGGCCGTGGCTTTCTGCAGACACTTAAAAAGGAACATTTCCATTAAACCTGCTCTTCTGTGAAAACAAGAACCCCCTAGTGACAGCTGGGATCCATGTGACCCTTTCGACACCACGCATTCTGAATTTCTCCTGGAGAATATACTGATAACAGTCTGAACGGGAGGGGCCCTCCCTTCCAACAGCCCACCACCTCTCACCCTCCTGGGCCCACTGGCCTCTGCATTCATTTCCCACACCACATTCGCCAGCTAGCTTCTGATCCCCAAGCAGGTCCTGGGACCCCCAGGGACACACCCGGGCTAGCAGCACAGACTTCAGAATCCCCAACCGCCCCGGGCCGTCACCAGGCCAAATTCAGACCCCCAAGCATCACTGGGGAAGAAGCCCAAAGTCAGCATCACGTGCCCAAGGCAGAGTATGGGACCCATGCGACTGAACATGAACCCCCGTAGCAGTGTACGACCTGAGATCATGGACTCAGACATGCCAGGCAAAGTTTGAGCCTCCTCCGAACTGGCGATGACTCCCAACGCAGCGTCTGGGGCCCCTGAGGCCGAGTTGCAGACCCCCAGTGATGGGATGAGACTCTCAAAGCTCCGCTTGGACCCCCAAGGCAGGATGTGGAACCCCGGAATGGGCTTGAACCCCAAGGCAGGATGTGGGACCCCCAGGATGGGCCCGGACCCCCAGGGTAGGATGCGGGACCCCCGGAATGGGCCCAGACCCCCAGGGCAGGATGTGGGACCCCCGGGATGGGCTTGGACCCCCAAGGCAAGATGTGGGACTCCCAGGGTGGGCTTGGACCCCCAAGGCAGGATATGAGACCCCCAAGGAAGCACTCTGACCCCCAAGGCAGGATGTGGGACCCCCAGGATGAGCTCGGACCCCCAAGGCAGGATGTGGGACTCCCGGGGTGGGCTTGGACCCCCAAGGCAGGATGTGGAACCCCTGGATGGGCCTGGACCCCCAGGGAAGGATGCAGGACCCCCGGAATGGGCCCAGACCCCGAAGGCAGGATGTGGGACCCCCGAGATGGGCTTGGATCCCCAAGGCAGGATGTGAGACCCCAGGGAAGCACTCGGATCCCCAAGGCAGGATTGGGACTCCCATGGCCACACTCGAACTCCCAAGGAAGGATGTGGGATGCCTAGGGGAGCAATTAGACCCCCAAGGCAGGATGTGGGAACCCCCCTGGAGGAGGACTCAGACCATCAAGTCATGCTGTGGGACCCCCCAAGGGAACTCCAACCCACAACGCAGGATTGCGTTCCCTGCAGCTGCATTTAGACCCCCAAGGCAGGATGTGGGACCCCCTTCCCGGGAGCACTCTGACCCCCAAGGCAGGATGTGGGGCTCCTTTCTGGGGAGCACTCAGACCCCAGGGCAGGATGTGGGACCCCCTTCCAGGGAGCACTCAGACCCCCAAGACAGGATGTAAGACCCTCTAGGGCAGTACTAGACCCTCAAGGCAGAGTTCAGGCCCCCTGAGACGGGCTCAGACCCTCAAGGCAGGATGTGGGACCCCTGGGATGGGCTCAGAGCCCCAAGGCAGGATGTGGGACCCCCGAGATGGGCTCAGACATCCATAGCAGGATGTTAGGACCCCTGAGCCGGGCTCAAACCCCCAAGGCAGGATGTGGGATCCCCGAGATGGGCTCAGACCCCAAGGCAGGATGTCGGACCCCTGGGATGGGCTCAGACATACACGGCAGGATGTTAGGACCCCTGAGACGGGCTCAAACCCCCCAGGCAGGATGTGGGACCCCGAGGACACGCCTGGACCCCAAGGCAGGATGTGGGACCCCCGGGATGGGCTCAGACCCCAAGGCAGGATGTGGGACCCCCGGGATGGGCTCAGACATCCATGGCAGGATGTTAGGACCCCTGAGACGGGCTCAAACCCCCAAGGCAGGATGTGGAATCCCCGAGATGGGCTCAGACCCCAAGGCAGGATATGGGACCCCTGGGATAGGCTCAGACATTCATGGCAGAATGTTAGGACCCCTGAGATGGGCTCAAACCCCCAAGGCAGGATGTGGAACCCCGAGGACACACTTGGACCCCAAGCCAGGATGTGGGACCCCCAGGATGGGTTCAGACATCCATGGCAGGTGTAGGACCCCTGGGGGAACACTCGGACCCCAAGGCAGGATGTGGAAGCCCCTTCTGGGGCAGCACTAAGACCCCCAAGGCACGATGTGGGACCCCCATGGGGAAGCACTCAGAGCTCAGGACAGAATGTGGGGCCCCTGAGGGAGCAGTCTGACCCCCAAGTCATAATGTGGGACCCCCGAGGGACCACTCTGACCCGCAAGGCAGGATTGGGACCCACACGGCGGCACTTACACCCCCATGACAGGATGTGGGAACCTGGGGAGCACTCAGACCCCAAGGCAAGATGTGGGACCCTAGGGTCGGGTTTGGACCCACAAGACAGGATGTATGACCCCCTAGGGCAGTACTAGACCTGCAAGGCAGAGTTCAGGCCCCCTGAGATGGGCTCAGACCCACAAGGCAGGATGTGGGACCCCCGAGATGGGCTCAGACCCCCAAGGCGGGATGTAGGACCCCCGGGATGGGCTCAGACTCCCAAGGCAGGATGTGGGACCCCCCCCCCAGGGCAGTACTAGACCTGCAAGGCAGAATTCCGGACCCCCGAAAAGGTCTCAGACCCCCAAGGCAAGATGTGGGAAACCTGGAGGAGCACTCGGAACCCCCAGGGCAGGATGTGGGACCCCCCCAGGGGAAGCCCTCACACCCCTAAGGCAGGGTGTGGGAACCCTGGGGGCGCACTCAGAGCCCCAAGTCATGATGTGGGACCCCTGCGGCCTCACTCGGACCCCCAAAGCAGGATGTGGGACCCCCGAGGGAGCACTCCTATCCCCAAGGCTGGATGTGGACCCCCGAGGCGGCATTCGGACCCCCAAGGCAGGATGTGGGACCCCCGCGGCCTCACTCGGACCCCCAAGGCAGGATGTGGAGGCACCCCCACCCCCGGTGCAGCCTCGGACCCCCTCGCAGGATGTGGGACCTCTGCGGGGGCACTCAGGCCCCCAGGACCAGACCACTCGGATCTGAGGGAAGATCCCGCTCGGAAGCCGGAGAGAGACGGGTGTGGGGAAGCGCCCGCCCAGGGTCGGATGCCTGCGCCTGCCCCGCTGGCGGCACTACCCGGCGCGGGCATCCGCCCCGGGCAGGCTCCGCCGAAGCGAAGCTAGCCCCCTGCGGCGGAGTCCCAAGCTTTGCCAGCCCCGGACCGCTCGCGCCAATCAAGCCACGGCGAGCACGTGACGTCCGGGGGGCCAATGGGGAGTTCGCATGGGAACACGCCCCCCCCGAGGCCCCGCCCCATAGCGTGCCGGCCCGCGCAGGATGTGGGCCCTGCGGGCCGCCATCCGCCCGGCGGCCTGGCTGTCTCGCGTAGTTCTCGGCCGCCGGGCTCCGAGACCCGCGCCGCCGCTGCTGGTCTGCCCCGAGCGCGCGTTCGCCGCCTTCGACCCCGGGGACCTCAAGGGGCGAGGGGGCGGAGGACGGGGCCCACCGGCTGATGGCCCGAGAAGCCGAACGGGAGAGGTGGAGGAACCGGAAGATGCCGAGGACGAGGAAGAAGAGGAGGAGGAGCTGCTGAGGAGGGACCCTTTGCTGCCGGTGGGGACCCAGCGCGTGTGCCTGGTTCACCCTGAGGTCAACTGGGGACCCGGGAAGCCGCAGCTGACCCGAGGTGCGCAGGAACTGCGCCGCGGGCGGGGCCGGGGACTCTGAGAGGCGGGGCCTCCAGGGGGCGGAGCCTCGGGAGAATCGGGCCGGAGCTCGGTGGGGGGGCGTGGCTGTAGGCACTTGAACTCCGGAGTGGAGACTAGGGGGGCGGGGTTTTCGGGACCGCCTGGGGGCGGAGATTGGGATGGGCGGGGCTTCCAAGTCCAGAGCTCAGGGCTGGCGCTCTGGGGGCGGAGATTGGGAGGGGCGGGGCGTCGGTGGCGGAGACTCGGAGGACTGGGGCTGAGGGGGCGGGGCGCCAAGCGCAGCACGGAAACGCCCCCACCCATCTCCCCAAACCTGCTGGAGGCAGCCCCAGCCCCCTGCTGCCTGGCCCTGTCCCTTCTCTGCCTGCTCCCTGGTTAAGCCCTACTCTCCCCTGCAGCATGTGTTGTGTCCTACCCGTTCTTTCCTGTAAAGAATCTAGCAAAAGTCTAGAGTCAGCGTGCCCCGTCTGTGTGTGTTCGTGTGTGTGTGTGGGACGGATCCTTAAGTACCTTACTGTGCAGCATTTTCATTCATGTAACCACTGAATACTAAAGATTGCGCAAGAAGATGGTCATCGTGCATGCACTTTATACCCGGAACCGCAAACCCTTGTCTGCCTGCCCTCTCGAGGGCAGCTGCCTGGCACCGCCATCGTTCCCCCCAGTCACTCACAGCCAGTTAGCTGGAGGCTCGGGGCACAGCACGCATTCCCGGCAGAGAGCCACCTCCTGGGCCCACGTGCTGCGGGTGGGCAAGATGTGGTTCGAGGGTCTCAGCAGAGCGGTCCTGGATGGCCTGGGAAGGCCAGAGCCCACAGCGGGAAGGGGCAGGCACAGAGGTGTGAGGACAGTCTCCAGAGAGGGGTCCTCCAGGGAGCACGGCCTGCGACCCTCGGCAGGATGGGTGGCTGTGGGGAGGTGGGGGCCGCAGAAGGAGGCCCTGTCCCCTTAATACCAGCCACTTTGCATCGCATCCCCATCCCGTCCCTCACAGCCACGAATCTGCTCTCTGTTCCTGTGAATTTTCCTGTTCAAGAACATTCCATCTCAGCGCTATGTTCCTTGTTTTCTCTTTTAAAGCCTTTTAGAGTAGTGTTAGTTGCACAGGAAACTTGAGAAGACAGTACAGAGGGTTCCCCGTACCTCCTGTCCCACCTGGTTAGCCTCGTGTGTTACCAGCATCCCCACCAGAGCAGGACACGTGTTACGATCCAGGAACCTACGTGAACACGGAATCACCCAGAGTCCGCGGTTTACAGTATGATTCACTCTCAGTGTTTCACGCTCTGTGGGTCTGGACCATGTGCGACATCACGGATCCATCGTTACAGGATTCTGCAGAGGGTTTCACTGCCCCTCCTGTTTGTGCTTCACCCCACCCCCTTCCTGGCAACTGCAGATGTTTTTACTATGTGCCTCGTTCTGCCTTTTCCAGAACATCATAGGATTAGAACCATCCACTACGCAGCCTTTTCAGACCGGCTCCTGTCGCTCAATCACATGCATCTAAGGCTCCTGCGTGAGTTTCTGTGGCCATACAGCTCATTTGTTTCTGGTGGTGCTAAGACCCTATTGTCTGGATGGCCCCCAGTGTATTTATCCGTCCACCTGCGGAGGGACGTCAAGGTTGCTTCCAAGCTGCTGTAAACATCCACGTGCAGCTTTGTGTGGACCCAAGTTTCTGTTCACTTGGGTAAATACCAGGGAGCATTCTGCTGGACCCTCTGGTAAGAGCACATTTGGTTTTATAAGAAAGCACCAAACTGCTTTGCCAGCGGCTTCGCCACTTTGGGTTCCCGACGAAGGAGGGTTCTTGCTGCACCCGTGTCACCAGTGTCAGGTGTTGTC